TTCATGTGTTGATTTTCAACTTTGTGTGCAATTCCTGCCTCCCTAAAATGTATAAAACCAAACTATAAGCCAACCACAGTGAGTCCACTTGCACAAGGCTTCTTGGGCATGGCCTTGGCCCATGGTCCTCAAACTTGGGTCAGAATAAACCTCTTTAAATTATTTCACAGAGTAGGGTTTCTTTTCTGTTGACAAAACCATCCAAACACCCCTAATTAGTGTGGTCGATAAAGTAACTTTATGGTTTATAAACATGGCACATTGTGCAGACATTAAAAAAGTGATTTTTCTCTAATTAAAAAAAAAACACTTTTTTTTTTTTTTTTTGAGACAGAGTCTCACTACATTGCCCTTGGTAGAGTGCCATGGCGTTATAGCTCAAGGAACCTCAAACTCTTGGGTTTAAGTAATTCTCTTGCCTCAGCCTCCCAAGTAGTTGGGATTACAGGTGCCTGCCACAATGCCTGGCTGTTTCTTTAGCAGGCCTAGGCCTGATTAGAACCCACTAGCCCCAGTGTATGTGGCCAGCGCCCTAGCCAGTGAGCTATAGTCGCCGAGCCTAAAAATAACATATTCAATAGAGAAATACAGTCTCATTATTTTAAAAATTTCAAGCACACAGAAAAATGTAAAATGCAAAGGCCTTCCTTCCTCCATCCCTACCTTAACCACTTTTCTCCCTCCCCCCCCAATTCTAATCAATCCCCCTCCCAGTAAGAGCCACAGTGGAGTTGTGTCAAAGGAAAAGAAGCCAAACTCTATAAAATACTTGAAAGAGGTTTATTCTGAGCCAAATTTGAGGACCATGGCCCAGAGCCATGCCCAGTAAGCCTTGACAGGGTCCAGGAAGCCTTGAACAAGTGGACCCTCTGTGGTTGGGTTACAGTTTGGTTTTATACATTTCAGGGAGACAGGAATTACAGGTAAGGTCATAAATCAGTACATAGAAAGCATACATTGGTTTGGCCTGAAAAGGCAGGACATCTTGACGCAGGGTTTTTACACGTCATAGATGGGCTTAGGGATTCTTCAGTTGACAATTGGCTAAAAAAGTTAGGCTTTGTTTAAAAGACCATGAGTCAGTGAAAAGGAATGCTTGGGTTAAGATAAAGGTCTGTTAATTGGAAACTAGCCATCTGCCCTATGCCCAGACGGAAATGATATGTTATTGGATTGACCACCTGCAGGTTAGCCTTGCAAAGTCTTAGGCCCATTAATGAATTACAAGGGATGTCTCTAAGGCAGTGGTTCTCAACCTTCCTAATGCTGCAATGTATTTTCATTGTTGCAAAGGGGTCTCAACCCACAGGGGGAAGGGGGCATAATGAGCCGCATCTGATCTGCCTTCCTTTGGCTAGCAACTCAGTTTTCAGGGATCCCCTTGGCCGAGAGGGGGTCCATTCAATCAGTTGGTGGGGGAGCCTTAAGATTTTATTTCAGTTTACAATAGGATATGTAACTCTCCAGATATTTCAGTTAGGTTTTGTTTTCTTCTACTAAAATAGGATTATACCATCTGTATTACTATGTAATTTGCTTAAATATTTCTAGGCAACCTTTTTATTTCAGTACCTATACCTCTACCTCACTCATTTTCAATTGCTCCACAGAATTTCGCAGAATGAATATAATTTATTTAACCACTCCCCATCTAATGGAAATTAAGATTCCTAATTTTTCAGCATCACAAATAATGCTGTTGCTCTAATGAACGCTCTTATACTACACATATAAATAAGCATTTATAAAATTTAGAAACATACGAGGAAAATCTTTACATCATAGTCGTAACCAAATTCCAAATACAGCATGATTTCAGCTACATAAAAATATGCAAAGCATGGGCAGCACCTGTAGCTCCGTGGGTAGGGCGCCAGCCACATCCACCCAGGCTGGTGGGTTCCAACCCGCCCAGGCCAGCTAAAACAGCAATGACAAATGCAACAAAAAAATAGCTGGGCATTGTGGTGGGCACCTGTAGTCCCAGCTCCTTGGGAGGCTGAGGCAAGAAAATCGCTTAAGCCCAAGAGTTTGAGGTTGCTGTGAGCTGTGACGCCACAGCACTCAGGGCAATAGCTTGAGACTCTGTCTCCAAAATAAATAAATAAATAAATAAATATATGCGAAGCAGAAAGTGACAGAAAACAAAAAACTAAAAAAAGTCTCCAAATAATAATAATAGGCCAGGCACAGTGTTGGCTCACACCTGTAATCCTAGCACCCTGGGAGGCCAAGACAGGCAGATTGTTTGAGCCCAGGAGATCAAGACTAGCCTGAGTAAGAGTGAAACCCCATCTCTAATAAAAAAAAAAAAGAAAGAAAGAAAAACCGAGGCAAGAGGATCACTTGAGCCCAAGAGTTTGAGGTTGCTGTGAGCTATGATGCCATGGCACTCTACTCAGGGTGAAATAATAATAATAATAAGCCAGGCATGGTGGCTCATACCTGAAATCCTAGCACTCTGAGAGGCCACAGCAGGTGGATAGCTTGAGTTCATGGGTTCAAGACCAGCCTGAGCAAACACCAAAACCCCGTTCTCTACTAAAAATAGAAAAACTGGCTCGGCGCCTATAGCTCAACCGGC